ACTTATTAAGTGACCCTACTATTGGGGTTAGATGCAAGGGCATACAATCATGAGTGAGACCTATCATATTTGTCTATATTTCTTATGTGGCTATCCTAAACATGTTAATTGGATATGTTTTCACTCTTCTACACATGGCCAACACGTGCGAGTATGGACCCACCAGTTGATTCGCACACCTCCTAGGCCCTCTTTTATAGTTGGGCGAGCATTCTCTGGGAGTTATTTTCTTCAGACACCCGTTAGAAATAGCGACTGTCACAACATTATAATAAATATAATGATCGTTTTCCTACCTTGTAGTGTACGCGTCCATACCATCATAAAAGAAGGGTATTTCCCCGATGCATGAACACACAATGATGCATGAGGTCCCAATATTTTTAATCATTGTCATGTAAGACAACACCTCCCATTTTCTTTCATATCATGTTATTTTCATCCAAGTTTTCGAGCATAAATTGAGATTGTGCACCCGATTGACACATCTTGTCTTATATCATTCATATCATGCATCGTGTCATATTTATATCATAGTCATATCATACATATCTCATATATCAACAGATCATGTAACATCATATACTATATCGTCAAACGTGTTACAACATAACATTCATCATATCATCAATAAATCACATCAAAACACATGTCATAACATTCACGTATCATCTCATAGTCCCATTGTTTCATAGACCTATTATGGATTTATCCTTTCATATCATTTCATAAATATATCATAGTCATATCGTATCATATACATATCATAATCATATCTTTCATAAATATATCATAGTCATATTGTTTCATAAATATATCATAGTCATATGTCAAGCCTATAACACATGCAGAACCACGGGCACTTGTCATCATACAAACATTAATTCCTAACCGTATCAATAGTAAGGTCACTTACTTGGTTGACCTTAGCCGACGTTCTCCTTAAACTCGAGTATGTTTGTATTCCATCCTCGAAGTTGTTCCAAATATCGTCAAGAGTTATTTCTTATTAGAACATTCATCTCGTTTCGTTAGTAATACGAATTTCTTATCTCAATTTAACTTAAATTGAGATAACGGACCTTATACTGATCTTAATCATCTTAGATAAGGTCGAATTAAGCCGAATGATCGAGTAATCGATATCAAAATGTCTATACCAAGCCGAATGATCAAGTTTTGAGTCGAAAAGTTGCACCGAGCTGAGCCGAGTTGCGTTGAATTGACTAAGCCGAAGAAGTCGGCATCTGCATGCGTGACACATGTCGCTGTGGGGAGAAGACGTGATAAGGAAACCCTAATTCTCAATCCAACGATCCAAGGTTTTGTTAAAGCAAGAACCTTGAATCAAACAAATTAACACATCATTATACAAAATTCGAATCAACCATACATAAAGTTAAAATTAGATTAATTCTTGAGATAAATATATAGCATCAAGATTTGGAATCTTTTTCTAAATTGAGTTTCTTCCCCATTCAATTGGATCAAGTTTTGATTGAATGTGAGAATGACATGTAACTTATAAATTACAAAAATAATACTCAAATTTCGAAGCCGACAATCTTAATTTGAGCGCTAAATTTCATTACTCAAATTTCTAGACAGGCTTAACCCAAATCGATGTTTTTTTTATAGTAATTTGTGGGTATTTATAGTCTCTCCACAAAAACAAACTTTGAACTCTTATAATGTCGGATCAAAGAAGTTAGTCACCTTCATTTACTCTCACCCCTCTAAATCTCCACAAAAAAGGAGTGATTTGACAACTAACTTCCCACCCTTTTCTCAAGAAATTAAAAATAATAAATAATATTTTGTAACAACTTATCTATCAAGAATGATAAGTCACGATAAGTAACTTCTCACCCTTCCCACCAACAACTTCATCCGTTATTTCAACCGTGTAAATATTCAAAATCAAATGGCCATTCCTAAATCGAATCAACTGGTAACACATGAAATAATGGTTGAACCGAGCCTATCCAATTTTGTAGATGAAGAATGAATGTTTGTTGAATCTTCATGGTCTTAGATTGTGTAATAGGTCCAATTGGAATGTTTGGAACACGTGATCTTTATCATCTTCCTTCTCTTCAAAAGGATTCGTCATCTAATTGTTGTGCGCCGAAAGCAGAACAAATGCACTCACAACACCAATGAACGGAATTACACAAAAAGACACCAAGATATTTACGTGGTTCAGAGAGAAGTTCCCCTACATCCACAGGTAGCAACCAATCACTAATAAACAAAGCGTTACAAGTGAATACCTCACTATCACACTATAAATACTCTCACTAATATGTCACTCAAAAAATACAATGTGACACATAAAACATTCCCAAATCTCGATATCAAATTCCGAACTAAATCTGGTATGATCAAATCTAATTCAAATAACCAAATTAAATTTAATCCAAATAACCAAATCAAATCTAATCCAAATAACCAATCAATCTAATGCAAATAACCAAATCAAATCAAAACTTAGGACAATTTACAACAATCTCCACCTTGCCTAAGATCTCCAAGTTGATAACTGAGTTGGTTGCTACCATGTCAACACACTACTTCTTTCTTCCAACGTTGATGAAATCCAAACAATGCCAGAACTTTTCACGAGCGATCACCTTTGTCAACATATTAGTAGGGTTATCAGCAGTTCTAATTTTAATAAACGAATGTCTCCTTCACTAATAATTTCTCGAATAAAGTGAAAACGGACATCAATATGTTTAGGACGAGCATAATAGGCTTGATTTTTTGACAAACAAATAGTACTCTGGCTATCACAAAACACATCTATATGTTCCTTCAAAATACCCAAGTCATTGATCAAAACATGCATCCAAATAGCTTCTTTAAAAGCTTCTGTTACTACCATGTACTCTGCTCTGGTGGTAGACAATGCAACAGTAGACTGCAATGTTGAACGCCAACAAACAGATCCACCACCCATAGTAAATAAATAACCCGTAGTAGATTGTCGCTTCTCCAAATCACTAGCATAATCATAATCCACATAACCAACTAAGAATCCATTTGACAGTCATAACATACATCAAAGCACCAACAACATTTGTATAAGGAATATTCTCCATATACCTTTTGTCATCGTCAAAACTTGGACACATAGAAGCACTAAGCTTGAAATGAGGAGCAAGTGGAGTACCAATGTGTGTTTGGTTGAATTATTCAAACTAAATATTGTCAATACCTTGCGTAGATATTGAGACTGAGTCAACCAAACTGTTCCTTTCTTTCGATCTCGCTCTATCTCCATTCCAAGTCTTTTCTTTGCATTGCCTAAGTCTTTCATTTCAAATGTTTTAGAAAGCTGATCTTTGAGCTTATCAATCTCCACCTATCTCATTAGCGAGGTGATTGCTTCAGCCCATACAAAGATTTCTTCAATCTGCATACCAAATGTTGCTGTCCAACTACTCGAAAAACCAACCGGTTGCACCTTAAATATTTCTTTTGGAAGTCAATCAAAGGGAAAGCATATGCTATCGTATCATCAAACCTTGCAGGTTTTCGAATTTTTCTTCGTGGTCTATTCCTAGCGATGGACTCAGGTTCCTCCCCTCTTTCATTTACAAGGCTTTGCTCCTTCTTCTCCACTTGCTTCAATGCCTCGTCATTATTTTCAATTTTTTGCAAAAACATTCTAGACTCATCGAATGTCACATCTCGACTATTAACAATCTTACTTGTTTCTGGACACCATAACCTATAGCCCTTCACGCCTTTGCTAAAGCCCATAAACTTGGCTTTTTTTTTTCTCTAGGATCTAGCTTTGAGTCTCAAGCGGAGTTTTCCCACCATTTCTAGAAACAGGTAAACGATTCACTAAGTGAACTGCATAAATGAGAGCCTCAGCCCAAAATGCCTTACTCAATCCTGCTTGAGACAATATGCATCGAACCTTCTCTATTAATGTCTGGTTCATTCTCTTAGCAACTCCATTTTTTTGTGGCTTAACGGGAACAGTGAAGTGTCGAACGATCCCATCATCTCGGCATACTTTAAGAAATGGATCATAAGTATATTCTCCATCGTTGTCTAATCTTAGCTTTTTGATTTTCTTGTCCGTCTGATTCTCTACCATTTTCTTCAACTCTAGGAAGATTTGGAGAACCTCGTTTTTGTGCCTCATGGGATATATCCAAACTCTCCTCGAGTAGTCATCAATAAAGGTGACAAACCACCTCTTTCCTCCCAATGAGGGATTCTTCGTGGGGCCTCATACATTAGTGTGAACATAATCAAAAATGCCCTTTGTTTGGTGTATAGCTGTACCAAACTTCACATTTTTTGTTTACCAAATATACAATGTTCACAGAAATCAATTTTACCAGTTGTGGCACCCTGAAGGACTCCTTGGTTCACCAATGTCTGAAGCGCCTTCTCACCAGCATGTCCAAGTCTCATGTGCCATAATTTCGATATGTCTTGTTCTTTCGAACTTGCCACAACAGCATGCCCAATTATTGTGGTTCCGTTGAGGTAGTATATGCTACCTCTTCTAGTTCCTTTAATTGCCACTAAAGCTCCACGAGCTACTTTCAAATTCCCTCCTTAAAAAATGATACGATAACCACTCGCATCCAAAATGCCAAGGGAAATCAATTTTTTCTTCAAGTCAGGGACATACCTCACCTCATTGAGTTTTCGTATAACCCCGTCAAACATCTTGATTTATACTGAGCTGATTTCTGTCATCTTGCAAGTACTATCATTGCCCATATAAGCAACTCCACCATATCCCAATCCCCAAACAAACCCTAATCTTCAATGGTCACGTCCTCCAAGACGACGGCGACGTCGAATTCTGCGAAATCCTCCAGCATTCTCGCATTCAACTCCTCGTAACTTCTGAATCCCAAAACAATTCCCAATCCCAATCGCAGCCCCAAATCAACCTGAACCATTCAATTGGGCGCCTCAAACAGAGGATCCACGAAATCAACTCTGTGGGCCCCATCAACGGGATCATGCTCCAACCCAACGTTTCCCCTGCCGACTTTCAGGATCAACGTTCCTTGCGTGACAGCGAGATGTCGGAGAATTTCGAGGTTGAGGTTTGTTTGTGGCCGTCGCCTACGGTTTCGACATCTGCGCCCAAGATGACAATGTCGTCGCCGTCGCCGACGACAACGACGACGGCGGCTGTAATGGTGGCAACGAGTGGGTCATCGAAGAACAAGTTGAAAGTAATGGTGCAACCGAAATTTTGGAACTCAAAGATACCAATGGAAGTGAACCCAACGAATAACGTGGGGGAATTGAAGAAAGAGCTGCAAAAGCTACAGCAGAGACTGCATTTTCATCCGCCACCAGAGGGTTTCTTTTTCATTTATGACCACGACGACCGCTCCTTCCGTTGGCATGGTGTAGCCCACGACGATACCATTGAGATCTTCAATGACAGCGTTTCTGGCGGATCTTAATTAGCTCTGATACCACTTGTTGTGCGCCAAAAATGGAACAAATATACTCACAACACCAATGAACAAAATTACACAAAGAGACACCAAAATATTTACGTGGTTCAGAGAGAAGAAGTTCCCCTACATCCACGGGTAGTAACCAATCACTAATAAACAAAGAGTTACAAGTGAATACGTCACTATCACACTATAAAGACTCACCAATATGTCACTCAAGAAATACAATGTGATACACAAAACATTCCTAAATCCTGATATCAAATTTCGATAGGACTAAATCTAGTATGACTAAATCTAATTCAAATAATCAAATCAAATCTAATCCAAATAACCAAATCAAATCTAATCCAAATAACCAATCAAATGTAATCCAAATAACCAAACCAAATCAAAACTTATGACAATTTACAACAGAGTTAAATCATCACCTACATCATAAGTACACTAGTCAGCAACATTGTAAGTAGAATGTACTGAAAATTCTACGAAAAGATCAATTTTATAAGCATTGTTATTAATTATTTAAAAAACTTAATAAATGTCATCCCCTTCGAAGTCACTTGGTTGAAAAATGATTTCCTTTCGTTCTTTGTTAATTCTTAAAGCAATTTTGAAATTTTGTTTCACATTTGTCTCCACCTCTTTGTGTAATATTTTGATCAAATTTGTTTTACTTGTGGCTCCTTCACTGGCAAAAATATTAGAATAAATAAGAAGCAAATCAAGAGGCGTAAGGGAATTAAATCCATAAATAACTTCAAAAAGAAAACAATGAGTAGTACTGTGAATTGTTTATTATATGTAAACTCTTTAAATGACAAACATTCATTACCAGACTTAATATTCTTAGAAATAATAGCCTTAAACAATGTTTCTAATATTCTATTAACCACGTTTGTCCATCAGTCTGATGATGACATGTAGTTGCAAACAACTTGGTACCTAATTTACCCCAAATACTTTCTAAGAGACTTAAAAAGGTAACCTCCTTGTCACTAACAATTATTCTATAGATTCCACTTAATCTTACTGCTTCCTTAAAGAATAAATCAGCAACATGATTTACATCATCCGTCTTGTTACATCATCCGTCTTGTTGCATGCAATGAAATGAACAATTTTACTAAATCTATCTGCCACAACAAAAATACTATCTTTACACTTTTTAGTGTGTGCCAAACCGAGAACAAAATCTATAGATATATTAGTCTAAAGTTCATTAGGTACATTCAAAGGAGTATACAATCCATTTGGATGTGATCTAGATTTAGCTTCTTTGCATTTAAAATATTGGCTACAAAACTTATGAACATTGTGCTTCATCTTCCGCCAAAAGAAGTGTTCATGCAACATTTTATAAGTTTTATTAATCTCAAAATGTCCGAGTAAGTTGTCACCATGTGCTTCTTTTACCTGCAAATCTCTTATAGAGCATTTAGTAATACAAATCTTATTTTTCTTAAATAAAAATTCATGAAACACATAATAATCATCCCAGCTCTTTTCACAAGATAAGATGCATAAATAGTTCTAAAATCTTGGTCATCTCTATATAATTCTTTAATATACTCAAATCCAAGAATTTTTGCACTAAGAAAAGTAAAAGAGATCATACCTTCTAGATAATACATTAGCTACCATATTATCTTTACCTTGCTTATATTTGATAACATACGACAATATTTCAATAAACTTCACCCACTTTGCATGCCTATGATTTAGTTTGCTGTAGCATTTAAGATACTTCAAACTTTCATGAATAGAGTGGATCATAAATTCTATAAGCCATGAGTAGTATTGTCACACCTGCAATGTGCGAACTAAAGTAAACAATTCTTTTTGGATCGTTCAACACCTTTGTTATATTTCACAAACACAATTAATTTCCAACTTGACATTTGTGAAATACGGCCTTAAAATGACCTATTTTACCCTAAATGAGGATGAAATCAAGTCTGGAAAGGTCAAAACGGTGTGAAACAGGTCGAAAATAGGGTTTCCAAGCCGAGAAGACGCTGCCGAGTTGATCACCTGCCGGAGTGAGGGGGTGTTTGCGCCAGACACTAACACGTGGCACAACCAGAAGTGGCTGTTGAGCAAACTGAGGTCGAGTCGAGGTGCGGTTTTTCAGGCAGTTTCTAGGTTGCGATGGTTTTTGGTCTCGGGCCTCGACTGACTGGGTTGGGCCGAGATCCTTGGGCTGCGGGTGGTCTCGTTGGGCCGCAGGAGTTTGAACCGGACTGGGTCACGAGTCATGAGTTTTTGGATCACAGGACAAAACGCGGCTGTGGGAAATGGAGCTCGGCCTAGGGTGTCTGTGGGCTAAAGTGTGCTAGGTGTCACGGTCATGCTCGTCCAGGGCGTGTTGCCCATGGCCGCATGCCCATGGCAATCCAAACCCTTGTCATGTCTTTTCATTCTAGTATTTTTACTTTTGTAGTTCTAGGGCGTATGACGCCTCAAAAATATCATGTCTAGGCCTGCTAGACATGAAATGCCTCAGATTGTACTATAGGGGGATATGACTAGTTGTCAACTTCTCCCTACCCAAGGTTATATATGCTAAGCCGTTGTTATCTCTCTCTTGCTTGCTTATATAACGTCTCTTTCAAAAATCTCTCTTTCTAAAATCTCTCTCTACCCTCGTTTTCTAAAACCTTCTTTTAAAACCAAGGCTATCGATCATACGTCGCTTGACCGTAGGCAACGCAATAAAAAATGGCTTAGCTCACTTGTCGTTGGAAAGTGAGTGCCACACAATCGCTAGTCTGTTGCCTTCAAAAGTGCGATTGTGTCAAGTGGTATCAGATTGTAGCCAGGGATCGTCAACAAACCTTAGCTATTCGTTGGATCTTTGTTAGCTCTGTGACACAGTAAATACCGAAACCATGTCGGCGACAAAGTCGACACCCAAAGCACAAGCCGACCGACTTACGCTAATAGAGGAGGAAATGTTGTTCCTCAAAGAAGTCCCTGACACCCTCCGCTTCCTGGAAGCACGGGTGACCGAATTGAGTGAGAAAGTCGTAGAAATTGACGCAATGGGCAACCGTCTGGATGGGTTGCCAATCATAGAATTGATGTTTCGAGTGACCTCTCTCGAAGAAAGAGTTGCTCCTACGAGCAGCCCAAAACCGTCTAGCAGTCCGGATAGCTCTGTCGCGCACAAGGAGGGACGTGGCGAAGAGTTCGACGTGCGACAAAATACAATGATTAACTTGTTCAATGGATTAGCTGATGAATTCAGAACAACAATCGACGACATCCAAGAAAGGATGGCCTCCATGGGCACTCGAATTGAAGTGACCATGAAAGCTGTGGAGAACGTCACGGCTGGGCAAACTAATGCAGGGTTCAACAAACTAAGATTCCCAGATCCTAGAGCCTTCAAAGGGAATCGAGACGCCAAAGAGTTGGAAAACTTCATCTTTAATGTCAAACAGTAGTTCAAAGCCACAATGGCTTGTACCGACGACAAGAAGGTGACTGTAGCCTCGATGTATCTCATAGACGACGTCAAACTATAGTGGCGTACGAAGGTGCAAGACATCAAGGATGGATTGTGCACCATTGACTCGTGGGAGGACCTCAAGAAAGAGTTGAGGGACCAATTCCTCCCCGAAAACGCAGGACATATAGCAATGGAAAAACTAGTAGCACTGAAACATACTGAAGGCATACGAGACTATGTCAGACAATTCTCAACCCTGATGTTAGATATCAGGGGCACATCAGAGAAGGACAAGGTGCTCTTCTTTATAAATGGGTTACATCCATGGGCCAAAACAAAGCTACACGAGAACAAGGTCCAAACCCTAGCTGCCGCAATGGCCTGTGCCGAGAGACTCCTACTCTATGGGAACGAAGTGGGATCCCAAAGAAGAATGACACTAGCCCCAAACACTGGGGGCAAGACATACAAGCCACCAGGTCATCGAAACGGAAGCCCCAACAGACTGAACGGAGGTAACGACAGACCAAGCGGATGGACGGATAGACCTCCTCAGAACAACCAAGCGGGGACATCTCGAGGACCTTACCATCAAAGGAACCACCCGACGATGCCTTTACAATGCATGTTGTGTAAAGGTCCCCACAAAGTATCTTACTGTCCTCATCGGGCCTCTCTCACTGCGCTCCAAGTGTCCATTCAAGAGAGCAATGATGCAAGGGTCGAGACTATGCTGGACAAGAAGGAAGATCAAGACAATCCCCGAATGGGCGCGCTTAAATTCTTGTCAGCCCTCCAAAGGTAGGTCGAACCGAAGGAGATAGTAGAGAAAGGGCTCATGTTCGTAGATGCGACAATAAATTCTCGACCGAGCAAGAGCACTCAGATAGATTCAGGAACGACCCACAACTTCATCGTTCACCAAGAAGCCCGAAGATTGGGACTAACCATAGGAAAGGACCCGGGGAAAATGAAAGCTGTCAACTCTGAGGCCTTGCCTATTGTGGGAGTTTCCAAAAGAGTCCCCTTAAAAATAGGGGATTGGACATGAGAGCTAGATCTTGTCGTAGCTCGCATGGACGACTTTGACGTGGTACTTGAGATGGAGTACCTCCTAGAACACAAAGTTATCCCAATGCCGCAGGCAAAATGCTTGGTGATCACCGACAGCAACCCTACAGTAATACCTGCAAGCATCAAGAAACCAGGTAATCTTCGAATGATCTCGGCCATACAATTGAAAAGGGGACTCGTACGAGAGGAACCTACATTTATGGCCATACCACTGATGGAAGTAGCGACCACCGAAGAAACTGTCCCAAACGAAATCAAGGAGGTACTAAACAGCTATGCAGACATAATGCCAGAGAGCTTACCCCAAACATTACCACCTCGTCGAGGCATTGATCACGAAATCGAACTCATCCCCGAGGTTAAACCGCCAGCGAAGAACGCATACCGGATGGCTCCGCCCGAGCTAGCAAAATTAAGGAAGCAACTGGATGAGTTGCTGAAGGTGGGATTCATCCGCCCGGAAAAGGCACCCTAC